TTCATTTTTTATTCGTCATCAAAGAAAAAATTAGTATTTTTTCTTGTTTCTAAAGTATTTAGTCCGTTTCAATTACGGAAAACGGTACTCTTCTTCTGGTTTTTCTCTCCGGACATACCTTTTAAAGTTTTACGGTTTTTTGCTGAAGAATTGTTGAGCAAATTGCATGTATACACAAACGGTTGGTTGTAGAATATATTTTGAAGAAGTGGGCTTGAAAAAGGTTCCATCTAATTTCCACTGCAAAAAGTTTCTGTCCTTTGGTTGTCCGTTGTTGTTGTTTTTTTTTGTCGACGAAAGGGTTTCTCTTTGTGTAGGAAAAAAAGGATTTTTGTTTTTTTTCGTTTTTTTTTTTTAAAACTTGTTTTCAAAAAATTTTTTAAAGAGTCAGAAACAACTTCTTTTGTATGTTGAAATTTCCGTTAAAATTTAGTGTGTGTTTTTTTAACCTACCCAATTTTTTTGATTCCAATTTTTTTAAAAGTATTTGGTGAATTTTTTCTTTGCTCCTTTTTTTTTTCTACGTTATTTTGCTCTTTTTTGCCTCATTAAACAAAATTTTTTATCAATGAATAATGATTTTGAATTGTAACGGGAAAGGGGGAAGGGGAAAAAAAGATGAAAAATGAAGAAAATGCAGTAAACGTTTTGTTTATGTTTCCACTGCTTTCTAGAATATAATTTTGCAACAAGAAAAAAAAGCGCAAAAAAAAAAAAAAATAAAAGACGAAGACGAAAGGATTCGGAAGGACTAAGGGTTAGGCAAGAGGAGAATGTAGCTGGGTTAGGTGGTTGAGGAATAGACGAAGTATTGGGAGCGGAGCAAAAGGAAGGGTTTAAGAGCAGCACTAAGTTATATGCTGAAGCGTTCAATTATTAATAACATCAAATTTGATTCTGAAAAATTTATGAATATCTGATTAAAGTTTTTTCGTCTTTTTTTTGGAGGGGGTAGGAAGGGGGTTACCGGAAAAAATTGAAAGAGAAGAGAGGAGAAAGGAAAGGGATGTAATGCGGGGAAAATTTTTTTCAAAAAAAATTTCCTTTTTTTGGCTCGTCTGTGGTATTTTCTATACGGTCTTTGGTATAGGCTGCTTAGCGTCAGAAAAACCTGAATTGACATTTTGTTAACAAGGTTTATCGCGTTGATGAAATTTTCTGTGGTTGGCTTTGGTTTTGGTGGTAGTTTTGGTTGTTGGTGAACGGAACAAAGCATATATGTAGATGAAAGAGTTGTACTTGAATTTCCATCGAACCTTATGGTAGCTGTCAACTGTTGTCGTTGTTGAAATAGTGAAAAAGCATCATAGTTGGATGCGTCCATCATTCTTTTTTTCTGTAAAGTTTGCATAAACATTTTTGGTGTTTGTTATTTTAAGCCATTTTGATTACTGATGATGAGCAATCTCTTCGCCGTTTTGACCATTGATCAATAATACATATTTCATTGTTTCAAAAAAAAAA